AGAACATATTCAAAACATTTTATCATGCCACCTTTCAGCAATTATAGTTTGCGAACTTTTAGTGTATGTTTCACTTAAACAGAACTTACTCAAAAACTATCATTAAGCCTGATAGCTCCAGACACCAATTTTGTTAGTCAATAAATGTAAGGTTTGCGGGAGGCCATCGAGGCTATTCCTGGCTCATGAGTATAAACTATCATGCATTGCTCTGCCACGTTATCTCGTAACGGGTATCCCACCACCAGACAAAGTAGCCCCCTTCGAAACTGTAGAGCATTCTGCTGCTCATCGTCATGTGTTACCATCCATTCTTGATACCTTCCATCTAGTTACCTTGATCTAATTCCTGTATAGTCTCCTGCTGATCATAGGGTGTTGAATACCAAAAAGACGTATAATTACAATTATGCTTACTGTGGGAATCTATTAGAGACCGCTCCCAATATTTTTGCCTTGGTTTGTAATGTCTTTCTTGTAGACGGTACTGCTTCATGATATGTAAAAACTTCTCTAAATGACGATTACGATATTCTTGTTAGCCAACTGTTTCAAGGCTCATAGAGGCTTTCATGACCTATCTGAAAAATACACTTTTTCATGCAATCCTTGTTTTCTCAATAAAGACTTGGGAATTGGGTTAGAGATAACATTAGCGCAAGTATTTCGCATTACATGCTTAGAGCTATAGACATAAAGCATGACTCATCCATGGGCATGTTTTAAGAGAGATCACGAACAATGTGGTGAATGATGGTTTCCAAAAGAAATCCGCCATTGCCGCACAAAGCCTGCATCGCGAAGGAAAAAGATTCCAATCCGTGGCGAGGTGTTCCACTTAGCATAAGCATTGCTGCAATCGAACGCTATACAGGCTCAGTCATCGCCCGTCTTCCTAAAGACCGGCAGATCCGTGGGGGAATTGAGGCACAAGGTGAAAAATCGGCGATCCGATCCTGTGCTACACCGTCACCGGTGCGACCGCTACAGTAAATATATGCGAAAATGGCAAAGGTATCAGTCTCCAACGGAGCCGTTGCCCATTTTGAACGGAGAAGGCAGGCAGCGTGATGCCATTACAGCACGTAAAAAAAGACTCCACGATAACGACACCGCCAGTGGGAGCTTACAGTCGGAAATTGTAACATCTCTTACTCGGAATAGAAGAACAGAAGCAAGATGATCAAGTTGCACTCTATCAACTGAATATATTTGGACTCACATCAGCGAAGCGCTACCTCTGGAGGGGGGGGTTGAATGCTGTTCGAACATACCGGCCGCACTCAAGCCGGATTTGATGTCCTGGTGGAACCTAACCTCACTGATAGAATCATTGAATGCAAGTCTGTCAAGGAACGGCGGCCATACTCTGAATGAAATTGCAACTAGGGAAAGCTTCTGACGTCGTTACAGATTCATTCGTCAAA